CCCTCTGATCGCATTAGTATAGGCCTTAAAGTATGGCTGTTAAACAGTTTAGTTCCACCAGTCTGATTTTTTTTTTTCTTTTAGTCTGATACTTTTAATTATCATGTGCTGTGTAGATAAAGCTTGGGTAAACAACCAAATATTCTCAGATAAACATTGACTAGATTTATATTTTGTTCCTTAAACTAGTTGACTAAACTATGACTCTAGAAATTTAAGATTATGTATATGTTATTTTTGTCTCATCCTTTATGTATAACAAACCTAAACAGACCTTTATCACTTGCTTAGGCTTTCTCATTTTTTCTATTTTAGAAAATATTTCCATTCCCATATCTTTTTTTCCTTCAGTTGTGAAACTTCTTTTCTTGGGGATGCTAAGCAACACTTATTCCCTTTTAAGGTTCTAGTGTCAAGCCAGTGTTTCATTAAGTTTTACCAGGGAACCAATGAATTTATTGAGCTTACTTACCGATATAACTGAGGGGTTGCTGAGATGTATGTATGACCTGAGGGTATGCACACTGGATAGCCTTTACCCAGCATGGGTCATGCCTTCTCTTCCTAGCCTTCCACAGATTGTGTACTTTAGCCCTCCCCAAATCTAGGAGGTCATGTGTGATTAGGGTCAAGTTACATATAGCTGGCTGGGAAGAGTGGCCGGGTACTCCAGTAAGGGTCCAGTGACACTGCTTGGCTCTCCTTTAATGAATGAGCGCAACCGTCAACAAGCCCAATTGTGACTATCGTCGGTTTTTCTTAAGACAAGGTCTCACTATGTAGTTCCGGCTGGCTTGGAAATCGCTATGTAGATCAGGCTTGTCTTGAACTCACAGAGATCTGCCTGCCTCTGCTTCCTTGGAGTGCTGAGATCAAAGGTGTGAGCTACCATACCCAGTTTTGTGTATGTGTGTTGGGGGGGGGGCGGTGCGCACAAATGTGGAGGCTAGAGGAGGGTGTTGGATGTCCTGCTCTATCACTCCACCTCATTCTCTTGAGACAGTATATCTCATTGATCCTGGAACTAGGGCTGGGGCCTGGCAAGCCCCAGTGATCCTCTTGTCCCCAACTTCCACAGCACTGGGGTTGTAGGTATTCTTGTGGCAATGCTAGCTTTTTTTTTTTGCATGGATGTTGGGGATTTCAACTCAGGTCCTCATGCTTGAACATCAAGCACTCTTACCCACAGACCCATCTCCCCAGCTCACTCTCAGCATTTCTAAGACATCAACAGAATAAGAAATAGGGTGCTGGTGAGATGGTTCAGTGGGTAAAGTGTGCTTGCTGTGAAAACATGAGGACTTCTGTTTGATCCTCAGCACCCATGTCAAAGCCATGCATGGCAGTGCACACTCATAACCCTATCACTGGGAGAGAGACAGGACATGACAGGTGGATTCTGAGGACTTGCTGGCTAGTCAGTCAGTCTAACTGAAGTGGTGAGCTTTAGGTCCAGTGAGAGACTGCCTCAAAAAATAATAAGGTAGAGCATGATAGAGGCAGGTACTCAGCTTTGACCTCTGGCCTGTACGCACTCACTCACACACAAAGAAATAGAAAAGAACATTGGACACATTGTAAGCTGTTTCATAGATTTTTGTATCAGCTACATGTCCAGCTATACTGTGTGTGTGTGTGTGTGTATACATGTATGTATGTATATTGTAAAATTTCTTTCTTGGGTCACAGTACAAAATCTGAAATTTGCCCTCCTGGCCTGTGAATTCTAATTTGGCTGGACTGGAAGCTGGAAGTACTGCATAGCCTTTTGCCTTTTGCCTTTTGCCCCATCCTGCTGATCAGTGCCTGGACTTCCCAGCTGGTGCTTCCAACTGATGGTGTCAGAATAGAATAATTGGCTCCAAAGCAGCTTTCTCACTGAGGACTTCCACACTGGAGAACAGCCCTGCTCACCACACTTATACCCAGGCTCAAGGCATCCCTTGCTCTCCTTCCCACAGCAGAGATATTACAAAATGCCCTTAAACATGAGTTGGAAGCTGGGGCAAAGTCTCACTGGAAGATGAGTTTTAGTTTAATTTGTACAATGCAGCTAACTTCTTCCTTCCTCTTCCTTCCTGCCCCTCCCCTTCCCTTTTCCCTCTTTTTTTTTTTTTTTTTTTTTTTTTTTGAGACAGGGTCTCACTGTGTAGCCTTAGCTGGTCTGGAACTTATATAGACCACTCTGGCCTCAAACTCATAGAGATCCAACTGCCTCAGTCTCCTGAGTGCTGGGATTAAAGCTGTGTACCACCATACCTAGCTCCAATGTCTTCTTTTTTTTTTTTGGTCTTTTTGAGACAGGGTCTCTCTGTAACACCAGCTGTCCTGGAACTCACTATGTAGACCAGGCTGGCCTTGAACTCACGGAGATCCGCCTGCCTCTGCCTCCCAAGTGCTGGGATTAAAGGCGTGCACCACCACACCTGACCCCAATGTCTTCTTTTAAGACAGGACCTGGCTGTGTAGTCCAGGTTGGCCTGAAATTCACAGCAATCCACCTGCCTCAGTCTCCAGATTGCTGGGATTATAGGCACCATGCCCTACCACCTGGTGTGTACAACTTACATATGTATGTGGATATATATGCATTTGTGTGTGTATGTGTGTGTGTTTGTGAGAGAGAGAGAGAGATGTTCACTCTTGCCTTCTGCTTTGTTCTGGGAAGTCTCTTAGTAGTATTTCTATCAGGTCTGTGAGCTTCTAGGGCTCCTCTTGCCTGTACCTCCCATTCCCCCAAGCACTTTTACCAGCTGAGCCATCTCCCTAGTCCCCTCTTTCTCACTCCCTTCCTCCCTTTCTCCTTTTTTAAAGCTGCTTTTTTTCAGAAATGGTCTTATTCTGTAACCCAGGCTAGCCTTAAACTCTTCATTAGTCCTGCTCAGCCTCAGCCTCTGAGGTGTAGGGTTACAAGCATGAGCCACCATGCTTGAGTGGACTGTCTTCAGTTACTTGCATTTATTTGCAAGTTGGGAGATTTCACATTAAAAAAAAAAAAAAAAGATTGATATTACAGCCCTGACTTGAGCTTTGGAAACCCTTGGCCTGCAATGTCCCAGGTAGTATTCAGCTGAGGCCTTTGAGACAACTGGAGTGCATCTGCTCTAGGGTGCCACAGCTTCCCTGTCCCTGCCCTCCTGCCACGCTCATGGGTTGCCTTCCTGGACTGTCAAGACTGATGCTTTTGTTACTTTTTTTTTTTTTGGTCTTTTTGAGACAGGGTCTCCCTGTGGCCCCAGCTGTCCTGGCACTCACTATGTAGACCAGGCTGGCCTTGAACTCACAGAGATCTGCCTGCCTCTGCCTCCCGAGTGCTGGGATTAAAGGCGTGTGCCACCACGCCCGGTGACAACATGTTCTTATTTCATAAGAGGTACAAGCTGTAGGGAATTGCCTTAGTATAATTTCTGTTGTTAATAGCACAATACCATAGACTAAATTTTACAGAAAAGAGGTTTTCTTTAGTGCCTGGTTCTGGAAGCTCAAAATTGATTGGTCACATTTGTGTGTGTGTGTGTGTGTGTGTGTGTGTGTGTGTGTGTGTGTGTACATGTATGCTCATACTGGTGGAGGCCAGAGACATTAGGTATCTTCTTCTCTCTCTCTCTACCTTATTTTTTGAGACTGGGTCTCTTGTTGAACACTATTTTGGCTAGACTATCTGGCCAGCAAGCCCCAGGGATCCTTCTGTCTCTGATTCCCCAGTGCTGAAATTACAGGCATGTACCACTGTGCCTGGCTTTTATTGTTGTTATTAGATTTATTTATTTGCTTTGTTTTGAGGGTTTCTGAGGATCAAACCCAGGTCCTCATGTTTGTATGGCAAACACTTTACACACTAAGCTCTTAATCTTGCCCTATCCATACACTTTTCTTTTGGGGGTAGTGGGGGCAGGATCTTCCACATGTAGCTCAGGCTGACCTGGAACTTTTTCTGAACCTTGGGCTGGCCTAGAAATTGCTATCTCCCTGCCTCAGCTTGCTGTACTGGGATTGCAAGTATATACCACACACAGCTTCAGTGATGACTTTTCTGGCAGGAAATTTGAGTGTATGTATCCTAGTCTCTACTTTTTTTTAAGACAGGGTTTCAACTATGTAGACCAGGCTTGCCTTGAACTCACAGGGATCTACCTGCTTCTCCCTCCTAACTGCTGAGATTAAACTTATTTGTTTTGGCTCAGCTAACATGAATTTCCATGAGGCAAACTATAGCAGTAATAGCTGCAATCTCATTTCTGTGTAGGATTTGGTCT